GGGCCTGCCTCCTGCTGCCCGCCCTGGGGGCGTTGGCTGCTGCCTTGAAGGGTTAGCACACAGGCGTTCCCTCCCCCGACCTGTTTCCGTGCCACTCACAACGTCATGGATTACCATCGCCGGTCTTTTCACTCGTCTCTGTTTTCGGAGCTGAAGTGTACCAGTGTGTTTTGTTGGTTTTGTGAAGGGATCTTCCATACCTATGATCAGCCTCGTTTCCTCTCTCTGTGTGGTTTCCCGTTCTGCTTTGACACTTTGAAACGTTGCCTATAAAATTCGAGGTGCAGATTCAACATGAAGTTCAGGTTTTACCTCTTTGTTGTTACTTACTTCTGAATAGTTATTTCAGCTGCTTCTGTTAGTCCCAGAATATCATGCTAGCATTGTGTTTTCTGCTATATCGATAAATACAAAATGTTACATTGAATTTCACTTGTCCTTAGCTTACTTTAATGGGTTTTAAATGCCTTTGTCTTTTTTTCTGGGCTTTGGGAAGTTTATTATCTTAGACCTAATGGGAAGGCCTTTTAATGTCCAAACCTACAACAATCTGTGGATAGATCCAGTAGCACTGGTCATCACACTGGTTTGCAGTACTCCTTTGTGAGGAAAGCATAGTATGGCATATTTATTAGCTAGGGCAGCAGATTCTTATTTTCAGGATCTTGTCCATGGTCAGGCGGGTTTAGCAGACAGGTTTAGCTTACGTTGACTCTGCTGGGATATTTAAACTTACTGTCCTGTGTGGAATATTTCTGAATGATCATATTGATTCTGATCTCATTCTTTAGGACCCTTCCAGTGATCCATCACAACAGGAAGCAAAACAGAGGTATAAATGAGAACTATTTGACTTTTGGTCTTCCATTGAATCATTTTGAAATTGACTTTTACTTTTTTTTTTTTTGAGTATTTAATTTCTTTGGAATACTCACCTGATTATTTATTGTGTGTGTGCGGTTGGAAAAACCAAAACAAAGAAGCTGAAATACCAAAGATTTGATCCAAGTGTGGCTCCCAGGCCATGACTGTATTGGATGATCTACAACAGAGCTGTCAGGCAGTCTGAACCCTGCCTGGGGTGGGAGGGCATGGAGGTAAACAGCAGTAGCAGCTCGTTTTCACTTTGGGACTCAGCTGAATGCAATAATCTCATGACCCTTAGTGATATAATAGGATGTTTTGGGGAAACATCATCACTGCCACTGTCATCTGCTTCTGGAAGCCTTGACTTTTCAGGGTTGGTAACAGTGGGTCATAAGAAAATCTTAAGGGCTGGCAGAACTCTTCCCAAATTGGAGTTTTGTCCGATGAGTTTGGGTTTGGCTCTTTAGTGCCGTGGGAACGTACTTTCCTAGTTCATTTGATTTTTCTGGGACATCTATTGCAGTTAAAAATATGAAACAGTTATTCATGTCAGAGCTTAGTGTGGAAAGAGCATTCAATATTTGCACTCAGTGGAAAGTTGAAAATAAGCGTTTAAAGGGCTAGACTTTGCACACAGTCAGTTTGTATTAATGGAAATGCATAAACTACTATTCCAGTTTTGCAAGTACTTACCCAAATACTGTAAGTATATAAAGACTTATTGAAAAATTCTGAATAAATAATGAGGTTTGGTTGTGTCTTGCAACTGCATGGGCTGTTCCTTATGCTCTACCATACACTGCCTTTGGCAAAATTGCACATGGAACTGAATGCAGCAGCTTTACAGTGGGTAGCACGGCTTCTGTCTTTAAGGTGTAATAATAAACAGTAAGGAGGTGTGAGTGGTAAATTCTGTCTTGATTTCTTGGAAGATGTCAGCTATGTAACTTTGTCAATGTACATAGAGCTACTTATGACAGAAAATGCTTTAAAAAAAATGATGTAAGGTTTGAAGGGACCTCAAGAAGTCATTTACACGAATCAAAAGTCTTCTGTAATTTGCTGGTTTGCGCATATTATTTTAGGTATTTGAAATCCGACTTTTAATGTGTAGTTAATTTTTCATTACAGGGAAGCGGAGATAAGAAATACTATTTTAGCTCAAGTTCTTGATCAAGCAGCTCGTGCAAGATGTAAGTATCCAAGTAACTTTCTAATAAAAAAATTCTCATCTAGTGTGTTCCAGGGCTGCTCAGATCGAGCATGTTACGTGCTTGTATAGAGGCCAGACTAGAACAATACTGTTGTAGAACTATTACAGCTTTTCAGTTGGTGATATCAGTGATTGGAGGGGAGGGGTTAACTGACTTCTAAATGATGTTAATCAAAAGATTTTTTTTTTTAATTGTAGTGAGAGTCAAAATTAGTTAATCTAATTAGAAACAAATGTTTAAAAGAAAGAAATACAACTATCTTGTATCTTTATTTTATATAAATGAAGATGCCTTTCAATTTATTTCACGACCCTGGCATGAAAAAGACTCTTTCATAGGGACATTTGTCACGTTTTAGTTACTAGTGAAGGTATTTGAGTATGTTTTAAAAGAAAGTGAACAGAGACTGTTTTTGTTGCAGTAAGCAATTTAGCACTTGTGAAACCAGACAAAGCAAAAGCAGTAGAGAATTATCTTATACAGATGGCAAGATTTGGACAGCTAGCTGGAAAGGTGAGTTATGTTTTCTCTAATTCTTTCTTGCAGACATTCATTTTCAAACCTAATTCATTCTTAAAAAAAAAAAAGTGGGATGTTTTTTATATATGTAAATTAAATAACAGGAAAAGGTGATTGAGAGCTTCTAAATACTGTTATGTAACTCCATCAAACACCTTTAGTAGGAAGGGAAAGTGTGATTCAGTTGTTTGATACTAAGCATCTCTCAGAAGGTGTTTATATGGCTTTTCTTTTGCTGTGCTAGGTATCAGAACAAGGTTTGATCGAAATACTTGAAAAAGTGAGTCAGCAAACAGAAAAGAAAACAACAGTAAAGGTAAGCTTTATTTCCCAAATATAATTTTAATTTGTTATAAAACAGAGCAGAAAAATTGCACGTATTATACCATGTCAGTTCAGGGTAGAACTTAACTTGGTATTTCCTACCTCCAGTAAGCGCTGGGGTTAAACTGTAGCAGTCCTTAGCAACAGTAAAATCTGCAGATACTGGCACGGGGACATCGGAGCCATGTTGTGAGACAGACCTGCCCTGCGCCTGTCCTGTACCCCTGCGCCAGCAGGGACTTGGCGGGGGCCGGTGACGGGGTGAGCGTTCTGCTCCCATGGAAGGTGTTCACTGTCAAACACGTGGAGTTTGAAAGGCTTGCTCTGTGTTGGATTTGCTGTCAGCCTTCTGTTTTCACATCATGTATTTCATTTTAGTTCAACAGAAGGAAAGTATTGGATTCTGATGAAGAGGATGATTATTAATACTACTGTAAGACTGTCTGCCAAACAGAAGGCCTGGAAAAAGGCAACACGCTGTTACCGGGCAGAAAGCAAGATCTGAAAATGTTTACGCTTTTTTTTTTTTTATAAAAAGGCCAACAAATGAACTTGTATTGTAAAATAAATCTGAGAAGGGGATTTTATACCTTAAATTTTTTTAGTATAAGAGGCCTGAGCAGTGTGGGATTCCCCACTGTGTCATTAGCATGAACATTTTGTTGCCCCTTACTCAGTGTGTAAGCTATGCTTTCAGCAACTGCACACACTTAACTTGCTGCTATTAGAGATACCATAACGTGAGAGGAGCTGAGTGTAAAGCTGGGAACAGCCACTCTCTGTAGGAGTTCAAAAACCTCTGAGCTATAATCACAGAAGTCTTAGAAATGAGATTTCCCATCCAGCTGCTCACTGGCTCTCAAGTCCTTACTGGAAATTTATAAAATAAAGTGAAGGTATCGAAGTAGTGTTTGGATCAGAGGACTTCGTATCAGGCAGCCCGTGTCAAGAAATTGTAACCAGCATGTGCTTGAACCGTTCTGCTAGGAAATAACATGCTATCTCAAGAAAAAGCAAGTTAACTGTGTAATACAGCACCGTTCAGACACTTGGTATCATATATTCTTAAGACTACCTCCATTTTTATCAAATGGCTGGAGTGTTTCTTACCTTGGAAAAAAAAAAAAAAAGAGACCATTTTCCTAAACTTTCTGCACCTCCTGCATGCATAAAGTAAAACTGAACTTGTGCTACACTTTTATTCAAAAATATGGTTATGGAAATAAGTAGGATAAATACTGTAATGTGCTGATAAACACTCTACCACCACAACCCCCTTTTCTGACATAATTTAAGAGGAAGATGTATGATCCCAATTGCAGTGGTTTTTTGGAACCTAATAAAATTGTTTAAAGTGAGCACTAGTGGGTGTTTTTCGTCTTGTGTGAATGTGGTTTAAAAGCATTTAAGTAGTTTTTATTATAGTTTCATTAGAGCTAAACTGGGCATTTTGCTGTTTATAATTAGGATTCTTTAACTTGAGTAATACTGTGGGTGTATGTGAAATTTCTTAAGACTAATGACCCTTTACCAGTGTGAAGAGTTTCAAGCCAAGTATGATTAGAGGATTTAAAAGTTTTCCTGCTGGTGCTACAAGAATATCCCAAGCATCCTTCACAGTCCCGTTCCTAAGTTTGTCAAATTCTACTTGTAACAACATAAGCTTTCTTGCTGTGCTGTCCTTCTAGAACAGCTTTTCCAGGGTCTCTGTTGTCAAAATGTGAAGTCATGGTTTGGATTAATTAACTTGCAACCTTTTGGAGATTAAACTGGACTGAACGGTAACATGCTTTGCAGACAAATCCTAAGTGTCATGAAGGCGACTTCAGTATATTTGCACTACAGATTGCCAGGGAAGCTTCCAGGGGTCCTCCCTCCAAATCCTATTTCAGTTTAGCCTCTGATCATCATAACTTTGAACATTAATTAAAAAATACCTTATAGTTAAAGCTTGGTTAAGCGTGTCAAAGGAAACTTGCAAACTATTTCATTTACCTAAATAATTTGTTAGTCATTATCTTCCCATCATTCAGATTATAGTGGAACTGTTTGGCATTTAAGTGCTTTTTTTTAATATATATACATATGCTATACATCCAAAATGCCTGGAAATAAGCTTTATCCTAGACTGAACACTGAATAAAACTGAAGCTTGGTCACTTACATAGCCCCAGGTTCACAAGGACAACTGTTCTGATACTGTAATAGAATAGAAAACTCTCGTTAACTCTAATAAATTTGTACTTTTTCTATAAAACTCAAAAGAAACAATACATTCTCCTGTTAGGTATCTTAAAAGACAGATTTTGTTAAAAAATAGAGAAAGCTACATACACCAAGTCTGCATTAAGTTGCCTTAGTAAGCTACTATAGGTTTTCTTGCAAATTTAATACTTCATTGGGGGGGGAGGTTTTTCAAAGAAAGACAAGAGCTACTTTAACACTTGGCCAATTCTTAAATTTCAAGAATAAAATTAACCAACCATTATATAGCCATTCATATCAAGGCTGAAACCGAACTTAGTGTCATTTGGCTAACTCGTGTTCTCGAGTTACACCAGTGTATTCTGTACTTACACTCTAGCATAGATTCACCAGTATTAAAAAGCTAATAAACTGATTTTTCTCAAGCATATTGTCAAGAAGTTGTAAGACAAGAGTAACTTAACTAAATGCACAGTATAATTAAAACACAAGCAAAATTCTCACTCTGTAGTTTGGAAATCAGATCCATGACAGTTTACTTGTATCTTAAACTTCATAAGGAAAATCTAGGTTAGGACAAGTGGCCTACTCTAAGTCATCTTATAGTGTAACAAGAAGGAAGAAAATAGTTCCTATCTCTTTCTTCTTGGTCTGTAATAGCTGAACATCCATCCTATTTTTTTTTTTTTTAGTGGGAGTGTAGAGCTAGAGAAGGAAGTTAGGTGAAAAACACTCTGTTTCACTAACAATTCTGTATTTTACACCTCTACGCCTTAAATCCAAAACCACACAACCTAATAACGGTAATCTGTCAATACAGGAGGGAAGAAGATCATATTGAACTTGAGAGTAAATTCCAACTGATCCCTCAAGTTACACAGAGATGAAAGGTGAAGCCTTCAAATGCCTACAAAAACAAAGGCAAGGAAATCTGCATAAAAGACTCAATGCTTTGAAAAAAGCACTCAAAGAAAACAGCTTTTTCAAGAGTTATTTTACTAGTTTTTTCTTTCCATCATTTGGCACAAATCCAAGGCACATCAGAAAATCATAATCATAAATTATTAGAAAAATAAACACGACCCTCATCTCCAAATGTCCACACGTGCACTTATGTCATATTTTACATCTCCGATTAAAAAGTTACTTGAAAAAAATCACCAGTATGTCTTCCAGCTTTATACTTTGCCGGGCAGTTTACTAATACCACAGTTAAAAGAAATAGAATTATTCATACAAATAGTTTGTGAAATAAAATGCAAGCTGGATGCGATGAGCCAAGAATAAAAAAAATACTGCACTTAGAAACCTGGCTTGTGCTATTTACATGTTCTCCTACAACAACTGAAACAGTAGAAAATGAAGTTCAAACCTAAGCAGCCATCTTGTGGTTACTTGCAAGCTTTCAACTCTTCAGTGATCCCCTCTAGGAAGAGGGTAATATTTGGCCTATTCCAGCCAATGCTTACTGACGTGAGAAGTACCTTGCATAACTGGAATTTCACCTTATTCTTAAAGAGCAGCCCAGAGCAGGCTCCTAAGCAGTTTTGCCTGCAGATGTTGCCCAGGTTCAGAATCATGAATATTTGTGCGTTTTTGCATGACTGGCTTTAGAGGAAAGAAAATCAAAACCCAATCAACTTAAAACAGTTTTGTGTGTCCTTATGCATGCTTGCTTCTGCATATGTTTTTTCGTTAGGCTGTGAACAGTGAGTCCAAAGTTTATCTTTGTCAAGGGCTCTACTTTCTCCCCAGTGCCTTGGCTCCTGTGTAAGAACTTGATCTTGCAGATCCAATACAGGGGAGTATTGCAAAGAAATTAGCAAGGATTACATCCCCTCACATTAACAGCATGTATAAATTTCTAATGTGGCATTGCAGATGTTACTGACCACTGTTTTCCCAGCTACTGAAACATACAGAAATATATATACTATAATGGTTTGTAACATTACAATAAAAATAGAGACATTTCATTTACCTCTGGCAATAAATACCTTGTTATCCAATATATCTTTATATATATAAATATATATTTATATATACTTATCCAATGTAGTGATAAAAACGGAAAATGCAAAAATTATTCAAAGAGTTAAAAACAAAATGGGTGGCTGAAAAATACAATACAGAGTTTCATTTGGTTGACTGTTACGTATAATTTTTTAATAAGTGCTAAGTAGAATGGGAAAGTAATTTTGCCATCTACATCCTGGTACGTCCCTGTTTGTTGAGATCAGTAATGATCTGGCTGTGTAGTTACCTCCAACATAAACAGAGGATTCAGTCTTCAAAAGTGCTCGGAACACTGTTTCTGCTGAAGAGTCATCCTTGTATTCTGTTTGGAAGGCAGGCTTGCAGGCGGCACTGAATTCTTCGATATACAGTGAAGGGTTATTGACATGAACACCACCTAGTTCCTCAGCTTTTGACATCAAATTCACACTTCCTTGTCAATGTTTTGAAAGCAAGTCATCACAGCAGTCTCTCGATTGTGAAATACTTGAGTTTCTAGGGCTGGATAAACTATTATCACTGACATTCTCTGCTGAAAGTGGCACATTAACAGTATGTCTTCGGTGCATTAACTTACTCCTGTGAGGAACTTCTATGTCATCATGTTTTGCAAACTCATCACTGCATCCTGTGTCAATAATCTTAACTTCACTCTGGTCCAGCGTTTCAACACATTTTAACTTGGTCTTATCAAAGCTTTTAATGGCTAACTGTGAGGACAGAAAGATGGTACATTAAAAGCATTGTCTACCTTCTTCATTACAAAGAAGTAAAATGAATACAGTGTTTCTTGAATATAATTATCACATTAATTTAATTATATTCTTTATACTGAGAACGCAGCCAAGGATTAAAAATAGTGTACTTTGTAGGACAGTAATTATATTAGGTCTATATCTAAGAAAACAAGAAGAGGCCAACCTGCCCCAGGCTACACATACGTCAGTACCAGAACTGAAAAGATAATGAAGGCATTCCAAAACTTCCTTTCATGGCACCATCCCAATATCATCCTAACTCTTCTAAACACCTTTTGTAAAGCAAGCCTCAAGGTACTTGAAATGAACAGCCATTCATTTTACCATTAAGAAACGTGTAAATAGTAATACAGACAGGCTCAACCAGGCACCGCTAAACCCAAAGGCAAAAACTCCCTGCTTCCAGACCTTATCTGTCAGGGGAGGGACACGACCCTCTCCACCCCCTTAAAGATTCCTTTTGGTCATTCCAGCTATTCCTATCTTCCATTTCCACATCTGCTCCTGATTTTGACTTTTCAGAGTGGGTGGCTCTCCTTGATCACTGGCCACTCTGCAAATGTTAAAGTAACTAAGAGAAAAAAGAGAATCCAAGCATGCTATAGTGGCAGATTTTCTAAGACAAGAACTAAAGGCAGATATTAATTATGACATCCTTTTTCTGAAATAATGGCAACAATCTTGAAAAAGTTTTAGTGATGATACATGTTTAAACGCGCTAACAATTTAGAGCTGTATGACGTGCAAATTCACAAAGCCACGACAGTCACACATGGTTAAAGTGCTACGTACCATGGTCACGTATGTTTTTTGACAGCTGCTGTACTTACATGACATACTGCCTTCAGCGATCCACAGTTATAAAATTAAATCCCACATTTAATTAAATAGTGGGATATTATCATTAATACTAGAAAGAATTAATAAATTATTACAGGTTTAGAACATTAATTTGGCATTCTCAAGGCTCTGTGCAAACGTTAAATCTCATAAGGGCTCTACGAAATAGAGCAGTATTCCATTTTCTAGATGGAGATGAGCGGCAGAGTCTGCACTTCCAAGGCTGTGCCAATCTAATAATGGACAGCTACTGAACTGATCTGGTAGAAAATTGTTTTCTTTTGACTAAGTTATTTTTCTCTTGATTCAGTATGCTGAAATGGCTCAGCAAGAGGTCTGATGAGAGTTAAAGCCAGTGTAAAGGAGGAAGAGGGAGCACGTGCTCCGGGTGGAGGCAGCATCCAACAGTCAGATTGGAGTAGGGTGTCACGGTATCCCCCAACCATCGATGAATTGATTACATGTGTTTATGTCACAGCTGACACTGCAACATGCAGTTTGGTATTACCCTTGCAAACAATCTCCTTCTACAAGCAGACTTACCATGCAAACCCTAATTTTACTCTACAGAAAAATTTCTCTCTTGTAAATAGCATCTCTGCTTGGCTACAGCTCTGACAAGCTGTAGAGTTTTTCAAGCCTTGGTATAACCTAGATTTTGCTAGACATGACACAGAAAACAAGACAGAGATGAAGCCTGCAGTAAGAGGCTTAAGAGGTTTAAAAGTAAGAATAAGATGTTTACGAGGTGTTACAGAAGCACCACTGAAGTTTGAACAACAACGAAACGTTAGCAATTTAACAAACAGGTCAGAACTTTTGGGATTCATTGACCACAACTAACACTAAAGAAACTTTCCTGATATATGTATATCAATAGCAGACAAAACCAAACATATTTGCTATATTATACAAGTAATTCAAGCAGGTATTTCCACTTACCTGATGCAATAACTGATAGTCAAAATTAGGGACACTTTTATCTCTTGTTATTGTTCTCCGTAAATGTTTTGCTCTAAAAAATATTTTAAATAAATTAAATTTAAATACAGAAGTCTTTCCACAAAAGTGTCGATCACAGCAAATCCACAAGGTGGCACAATCTCAATACAGAAAGGCTACTATCTGACACCACCACCTCGAAATGACAGCCTACTAGGATTTCCTGTATGCTGTCACAGAATATACAGTAACGTTTAAAAAGATCATAGGCAAAACCTAACCACTCTGAGTGAAGCACTAAGATGAGGTTTTTAAAGCAGTCTGGCTCTGAAATTCTTAATTTATGGTACACCAAGTGTTTGTGCAAACACAACTGTAAATACATTTGCTAGTACTGCTTCGCCGGCCAGCTTTTCCCTCCTGCGGCACAGCACGTCACTGCTGTTCACCCCCATCGAGCATGTCGTGCCTAGAACATCTGTCTGGTGATATGAATCTGCATGCCTCGGAGGATTAGTATCTACTGTCAAATTAGTTATATGTGGTGTGTAACAATGCTTGACCCACTTTTGGGCTTTATTAACAGTTGTATTTCTTTTTTGGTTATGAGAAACAATAAACAATTCTGAGGAAGCTTCTATGCTTACTTGTTAAATCTGTTAATTGATTGGACCAGTTGAAGTTGTCTGCTTACAGGATCATCGGCTTTCTCACATGGCTTAGAATTCACTAGGGGTTTAAAAGAACAGGCAGCTAAAATTACAACTGAGTCACACTTAAGAATTAAAAAAACAGTTCTGAATGGAAAGTGGTATCTATTGACATTAGAGTTAAAATTTTACAGTAAAACTGTAATAGTAATAACTTGAATCAGAGTCGCATTTTATCTTTGGAAATTTTAAAGCATTTTAAGTCGCAGGAGTAAGCATTCTTCATCAGATCAGCATGACTGGCCTTCGCTACGCTCAGCTGTCTAGCTCAGCACAAAAGTTGTTACACCCCTTGCCTCAGGTCAGTGAACTGTATCAGCTTGAAAATTCATCTGAAAAACTTCTCAGCCAGCATAAGGGAAGTAGTGGATAAGCAAGACCAGCAACTGAGGGCAAGGGGGAAGGGGTGAGGATGGATGGATGGAGAGTAACAACCATCTCTTTGAAGTGGCAACATGTCAGTTCATCAGCTCAGCTGTATTGTCGAACTGTACCACGTGTCTCAACATACTTGCTTTGACTGTAGTACATGCTGCCATTTGCTCAAAGTCATTCTTCTGCAAACAGTGCTTTATGGTTTAGACAGTCACCTTATTTCTGTCCCATAACATGAGAGACAGTAACTAATGGAAGAGTCACTCCCTAACCTGTTTTAGGGCAAAGTAATTTACTAGAAAAAACTAGAGGTGATTTAAATTAATGTTTTACTTTGCACTAAAAAGGACAATTATTACATGGTTAATTGCATCATCTCAAATGTGGCACGGTTTTTCACTTTAAATGCTTTCACATGTAAAACTCCCCGCCACGCACCAAAAAAGTGAAAGCTGAATTTGCAGCGATGTCATTAATATAATACAAAGTCTGCTGCACTTACAGTATTTTAGGTGTTACCTGTAACAAATACCCAAAATAGTTGTCTGTTCTTTAATTATATATAAATCAATTATATAAAATATTTGATGTAGTCACACATGAATTCCTAAATCTCTTTTTATTCATACCAACAGAAATGTGACATGTACCTTTTTTTCTTATCTTGATAGTAGCATGCTGCTCACACTCCTTTTCTCTCTCTGCTGATGCAGGTAAATAGCTTGGTGCTGTTTCCAGCAGCTTAATGATACTTGAATTCTTAATTTTAAAAGTTTCCATTTTCACGATTATTAAAGGAAAAGAAAAACATCCATACGATTTAGGATTCTAGTCTGTGCAGAGTGTGTTAATTGCTGACAAAATGAATGTAACGCACACAAAAATACCTCATTATAAATACAAACTTTAAATTGTATAATTCTGAGTAGGGACAAAATCAGTGTTCCACAAGTTGCACTGTACTGAAGTGATGATTTTGTTGTCTTGACCTATTATTTTAAATTGTATTATTTATGGTTAAGCTAATTTCAGTTTAAATGGTAATACACTTACTAAAATTGATTCAGTACAGAATTTTGTGGTCATTATGCTACATCTCAGAGGCTATTTAAGCACATAAAGATAGGGATCATGCATCAAATCATTTAAAGAGTGAAATAATTCTTTATAATTTAATATTACGTATTATGTTATTGCTATTAATAAAGGGGAAGATCAGAGTTATCAATGACAAGATAAAAGGTATGAAAAGGCATTAAGCACAAAAGATGGTGGGTGGAACAAGGAAGATTGCTAGCAGTGTAACTGGTTAGTGAAAGGCGCTCACTTTCCTACATTCAACATTTCTTCTGCTCTCTCTGCCATTACTAGCATTAGTGTCATTTTCATCCACGTATGTGTTTTCACTCTTTCTAGACTCATCCTTTTTGTCTAGGATACCTTTCCTAGAAACAACAGGTTTCACAGACCACAGGTATCATATTGTACCCTGTACAATAAACAGGCATCTTCCGTCTCTGTGTCATACACAATTGTTAAATACAGAAGTCTTGGCAAATATTGTTGTGACAAATAGTTAATTTGTTTTCTTTCCTACATCATGCATACGAACTTTAGGAAAATCTAAAGTCAGAAATGAGCTTTCTGCACTCACCGGCTCAGCGCAGTCTGCAGGGGTGCAGTTCCTCTCGTTCCGTATGTGTGTCTTTGCGCCGTTCTGAAGCAGCAAGTCCACCAGGGCTTCATTCCTTCCTATCACAGCCTCGTGCAGTGCTGTATTTCCTTTGGCATTAGAAAGGTTAACAGAAGCTCCATGCTGGACAGCAAGATAAAACTGAAGTTATACAGACAGAGTAGCATGAAATGGAGGTAGCACATTACTATTCTGTTTTTCTCTCCTTTTCAAAGTATGGATAAGAACAATGCAAGAGAAGCCTTGTAGCTGTATACGAATGCAGAAGCATATGCTAGCAATCACCAGTTCAACAACAAGCCACCTGATCATATCCTCTCTCACAGCCACAATTTCATAGATCAGCTCGTTTCATATCTGCACCTTATCTACTATATATTCAAAGTTTAAGAGATATTTTTTAAAAAATTACATCACGAAAAAAGCAAAAAACCCTATGTGATAGAATCACAAGCAAAAAAACCTAACACCTGCCACAAAAAAGTTCCATAAAAACAGCTAGCTGTACAATAGTAAATTAATATTTAGCTAATAAAAAACCATGAAGGGAGGGGACTGAAAGGAATGAGATAACAAATACTCTTATTTTTCCACCCCCAAGTAGTTTTGACAGAGAAACGCATAACTAAAGATACTAATCCCGAGTACTGGATAAGCAGATACCACGTAAGAAATACTATTCTGAACATTCTGTTTTCCGTGATCTTACCTGTAACAACAAGGCCGTAGTCTCATACTGACCATTCAAACATGCATAAATTAAAGGAGTATTTCCATATATATCTTTTTTATTTTGTTTAGCATTGTAATCCATCAGACACTTTACCACCTATTGAAAGAAGTAACAATGTTTTCATTTAAGATAGCAGCCAACCATAATCATGCAATTAAAGTACCCCCTCCTTTTTTATTATTTTTAACATTATTTTGAAATCTAGAACAAAGAGATGAAAGAAGAAAAGATGGCGAAAAAAGTCTCATCTTTGCCAAACAGATGATCTCTTCCTATCATACAAATTCTCATATTTTACCACATGCTTTTTAAAAATAAACTTTAAGCAACTGAAAGAAAGGCCAGAAAATAAAACTCAAGGTATGTGAAAAACATACATAATCAGTAACAAAACATCAAAACCAAACCACCACAGCAACAGTATCCTTTTGCCCTTTCCGAACTCATCAGAACACTCAGGAGGAGTTCTTTATGTTGTAAATACCCCAGGAATGAACTTTCATTAACCTACAAGTTTGGGTTCTAGTCTCATTTTGTTCTTGCTTCCCTAGTGCTTTGTCTCCCCATCATCTTCATAATTCTCTTTTTTTTTTTTCCTCTTGCAATCCTCAGCTCCTTATTCTCAAAACCCTAGTTTTCCACTTTCCTGTATATTTCCATTTGCCTGTCTGCAGCTGCTTTTTCATGATCATTACTTTTCCCCTCTCATTTACTCTCCCTCCTGTATTAATATCCTCCCCTCACTAGCTCATGCTTCTCATTCACTGCTTATGCTTCCCTGACAGGGAAGGAAGTCAGGGATGAGGTTATCTGCTACCCTCAGAGCTCCGCTTGGCTCATAATCTACTGAAATGTGCTGAAGATATGGTAAATATTTAATACTGTGGTATTGAAGATACCAAGTCCATTGCATCAACAGATGTACACAGAACCTCCTTGAACAGAAGGTACAAAGAGAAAATACATAGGAAGACTCAGCTGCACAAGGTATTTTTAAAGTGTTTGGTGTACAACAGTAGCTATTTACAGCACTTTACTTAAACCATCATTTCAGGTCATTTAGAAAGAAAAGGTGCCTACTGAAACTCTTTCAGTTGAAAGATCCCCTTTCTGTCTGGAGATTTTAGACACCAGAAGAAAAAAACAGAATTGCCAAACTAATTTTCACTGTTATGGTTTAATCTTGTTGATAATTTCAGAAACCAGCTTTTTGTTGGTGGTTAAGTGTTAAATAGCTTGCATTTATGAAAAGGCTCAGTTACCTGGAAGTGACCTTTCTGGCATGCTAGATGAAGAGGAACTGCATGTTTTGCATTCCTGGCACTGACACTGGCTCCATGTTTCAACAAGAGACAGACAAGTTCAGAGTGTCCATGCAGAGCAGCCATATGCAATGGTGTAAAACCGTCTTGGTTTGAAACATTTACTCCAAGTCCATTAGCAGAGATCCTTGCAAATTTCTGAGGAAAATACACAACAAAACTATATAACGAGTCATGCTACTTTCTGTTGACCAAAAAGCAGCCAAATACCTGCTACATATATACAAAACAGGTAGATGGACATTACAAGAACTTCTGCTACAGAGCCTAATTTGAGACTTCAGGAAAAGAGTGAGTAAACCAGAGCAGCTTGGTAGTATTTTTCAACACAACAATGAGGTTTATTTTTATCTCTTTTCTTCCAACATGATAGCTTCATATAGAGAAATTCCAGCCAAAGTATTCATGATATTAAAAAGAGGCTAAAGCAGCACAGGTTGAGACGAAGTAAAACTTAGGGTTTACATATCTGTTAGGATGCTGACATACGGAGAGTGTTAGTATTATGAGTTACTTCGATTTATACGGACATTTGTGCTCTTGGAGACAGACACTACACACCTATTTTACTGCTATATGAAGCTCAAGGTAACAAGGATAAAAACTAAAATTAATTTTATTCATGTGGAAGTAACACTGGCCCAGAGAACAGACTCCCACGGGGAGTCAAGGAAACTACCTGGAAGACAGATTACACAGCAGTACAGAATATCCTTTTTAACTCCTCTTGCAAACTGTGTAGGTGCTTAACATTTACAGTGGCAGACAATGTTTCATTCTGCCTATCCTAGGTGTGCTTTTAAATGTGTGCCTGCCTAATACAGCCGTTAAGATTAGTTAACAACTTCCTTCTACTTTTCATTCAGTAGGCAAATAAATTCCACAGTAAATGCCATTCCTTCCCTTGTTATCAATAAAATGAACTTTCTGGTTTCAGACTTTGGCATCTTTAGCACATGATCTCTGTACTGAGGGTACATAGACACACGTTACCAGAGAATAAAGCACAATGTAAATGTGAAGCATTTAAGGACACTCTTAGTCTGCATAAAATAAACATAAGGTAGGAGCGAGGAATTTAGAAGAAGTTAAGCCATCTCACATTTTCTCAGTTAAGTGATACGGTTACTGCTACCTCAAAGCAGCCAATACACCAAAAATTTATACTTTTTTTTATTTTGCAATGACTTATCCAGTTATGTATACCTTCAGACATAGTAATACATTTTCTTCCTGAAAGGCAAGCAATTGGTTTTCTACATCCAAGAAGCTGGAATCATTCCTTATTTAAATTTAAAAAAAAAAAAAAAAAAAAAAAGTGTACTGTAAAGCCTGATTCTCCTCTACAATCCATGATCAATAAGGGGAAACAAAGTCATTCCAATTATATCTAATCTCTGAAGAGGTTTTAGATATACCTTGTATGAAAGATGTCAAGCAATTAAAAAGACAACTTTATCAGCATTACATTGATTATAGGATTAGCAGGTATTCATTGCTAAACTGATTACTAACAGATAAGTAGATACTCTGTGACAGTTAGCAATGTAAACTGCAAAAGAGAACCAGAAGCTGAGGCTTGGAAGATTTTTCACATTTATTCAAAGTTGTCCAAATCTTAATGACAGCAGTCCACATATTCTAAAAGCAAACTGCAAAGTTTTTTCACTCCTTTAGATATTGAGCAAGTCTTTGAACACTGTTCCTGAATCCAATATCTTCTACAGTTCAATCACAAAGAGAACAATTTCATGACATCAGATGAACACTGTTAAGATCTGTATATATTTAATTGCTTTTTAGATAGAGGTGTTGGGCAATATGAATTCTACTCCCCTAGAGCTAAATGTTACATTACAAGAATATAAATTAATCTCTTCCACAGAATGAATACTCCAACCTTTTGTGCTGGCCCACATTTTGAGCACTGGCATAGTGGATGACAGAATTCTGGTTTTGATGTACTGGCTGTGTCATCCTCATCTTCTAAGTCTTCTTCCATCCATTCCAAAAGGTAACGTACCTGGCATAAAAAGCAAGTCCCGTTTTATAAAGTCCAAAGGTTCCATGTCCTAACACATTTGCATATATAGACACATAAGATTTCACAAACATACACTTGTGAATATCCCAGGGAGACTATACAGCTACCTCCTGGCATCAGCTGCCCGCAGGCCAAATTAGAAAAGCAAATGTTATTGGTGACAAAGCAGCTAGAAAGTTCACCAAGTACAGCAGTGAAGTAAATTACAAATGACTTTCTGCTGCCTAATCAAGACTTCAGTGTTCACCTATTATCAAGCCCTCCAAATCCTTTCACCTCAGATGATTTGTGCTAGCTCATATCAATGTGAATTTTGTTTCATCTTTTGCTTTAACAAACACAAGGAGTGACAAGGATGACAACATTTAACCAATCTCCAAAACTTTGCAGGGGTGCTGACTTTTCTTATGTCAGTCACTTCCTAGGAGCTCAACAGTTTCACTTCTTCCTCAATGTACAATGCCTCATTTTTGAGGAAGAGAGGGGCCCTTCAGTGAAGATAGTCTGAGGACTCAGAGCATTCATGTGCAGTTTGCAAACAGTGATGCTTACTGCATGTTAATTCTACATTAAATTTTATACAACAACAACAAAAAAAGCTGTTTAAGAAATACATTTTTACCTTGAAATTCATGAATTCACTGTAAACTAAAGACATCTTAGAATTAGCGGTGGCTGTATTAAGTCTCCACTATTACACCATCTGGCAATGCAAGCCTGACCCCTATCTAGTGTATCATTCTGAGCTTGTATTACACTCAACAAGACAAGTCTTTCAGAAACTCAAGATAGAAATGGGAATTAAATTGTCCTCATAAGGCCAGGGACAATACATTAACAGTCTAGGTGCATGAAAAGGGCTAACGTCATGATGCTCAAAAACAAAGACACAAGGAAGGCACTTGCATGTGGAGGTTAGATCTCTCAGAGCTCCTGCAGATCTTCTGGGAAGTTCCCAGATACAGCAAGTTACAAGACTACATAGTGGGCACAGAGGTGTAATACATGTCATCTTGTGAAGGGTTTTCCTTTTACTCCTTTTTTCTTTTTTTTTTTTTTTTTTACCAGCTTTTAAGAGAGCTGTCAAAAGATGTATCATTGTCTTGTTACCACGAAGAAAGATTAGCCCTTTGCCTCTCACTGAACAGTGGCATGGAGCAAAATCAAGGAATCACCTTCTGCTGAAACTGAAATAGAAGTGTCTTTGCTGGATTTGCGAGTTGGGTTCGATGCCACAGAACTGGACCAATCCAAGAGCTCTATAGATGCTAGTCAAGAAGAGAATGGGAATAAAAGAATTTCCTACAGGTTCCTCCCACTGTCTGTACTCTCACACTTGTCAGCAAGTTCTGCTTCTTACCATTAAGCAAGCTCTGGGAAACCAAACACAGAATAATAATCTATGAAACTAAACAGACGCAGCTAGAATAAATCCTAGGACAACTAGTAAGGGCCTGATCCTGAATGATAACATAATTGAGAGGAAAGGGATGTTTTTTACAGGGAATATTACTTTCCCTGCAAATTCCACATTGTTCTCTGGAGTAAAAAGAAACCTTCTCTCAAGCTGATCTGTTTATAGAAGGCCAGATCAGTGAAGGTTTACTATATGCTACATTTGTACATGTCTAAAATAGATATTGGTGGCACTTCACTTCCCCCTTTCACTGCAGACTAAGACTCTCATAACTGACACTTTCTCCTATCACAACTCAATACCGCTGCTCTCATTACCCAAACACGCAGCTCTCAACAAAATAATCCCAGTGTCTCACCAAAAATCTGAACATGCGCACCGCTTTATAATTACAGTGGAACAGACTTTTTTTGTTTGTTTAAAGTTTTTTTGGTCAAAAGGTTAAATGTAATTTTAAGCAGACACACACTGAAGCATCTCAGGAAATTGTCCATAATCTCCCTTTGCCAGTTAACTTGCCATCTAAAACCTTCTCTACATTGCAGAGTAACACACTTCCTGGAATATTTAGCAGAGCACTCCAGGGGCACTGTAACCTGTATGCCAGACTTTTAACTGCTCCACAAGGTTTATTTTATATAGGAGATTTGCCTTTTTTTTTTTTGTGGTGGATTTGCACATATCCATTCCACGAGAAGAGTCAAGACTAGCTGGGTGGAAAGAATTTCAGAAGAGTGCCTAATCCAATATTCTACGCTGAGACAAAGTCCATTCTTCCTTAACACTTAACTTCGCTGTCAAAAATCAGGTTTACCTGAAAACTCCTCTATTTTGCCTTTGTTTTGTTCTGACTGCATATCCAGTCCAATATTGTGACTTCAGTATACATATCTTTTTACAGTTGTGCAATGCACCATGCTCCCCATCTAACAATGGCATTGGACAGGGCAGCTTGAGCACCTGCAAGCAAACAAACTGTTCTTTCCCATATTTCTTTTCAACATGCATGCACTTAATATTGTTCTTCCCAAGCTCTTTGCATCTCCTAGAGGTGACTATGCATACATTTTTAATTGACAGGCCTTTCACAAAGGAATTATTCAATTTAAAGTAATTTCTTTAGTGTAAGAGGTCATGGAAATGTCAAAGTAATGGGCCTTAAAGCATTGTAGGTAAAATAATTTGGGGACATGGAGCGAATATTCTTTGTAGAAAACAAACAGAACTTGATTAACTGTTGCTGAAGGAAGGTATTATCCAAAGCATTCTTCACTTATTATTTACAAATAACTTCCTCAATTTGAATGAAGTAAATTGGAATTCAATAATATTCATCAGCCATGCCAAGACTCACCATTTCTAGATCTCCATCAGCAACTGCTCTTAGGAGTTTTTCCACCTAGGCATGAATAAAACAATTTATTTGCTTTGTTAGTATTGGCATTACACTGTACACAGAAAATCCTTTGTCCTTTACTAATCTCCTAAACTTATGTGGTAGTATTACTGCTGGCCCATTTCATATTTGTTGATAAAAGTTTTAAAGGAAAAATCTTCTTGCTTTACAAAATGCAAAAGCTGTGCAAGGCCTGTGGCCACCTGATGATCTCTGACTTGCTCAGTTGAAGATAAATAGTACTTACCTAAATAGAGGACATGTAGTCCACACATAAACAAAGCCATGTAAGCTGATATACATTATTATGCCACTTCAGCAGCAGCTGACCGTGCATTTCTGTTGCGAACCTAACATTAAAAATCCCTACTCAAGACAAATTTCTACCCTGATAAACACCAGTATTGTTTGGACACTTGCTGAGCTACAACATGCTACCAGAAGCACAAAGAATGGCTGAAAAGATATATATATACCAAAGGGTATGCATGAGCAAAAGCCAGGTCTCTTCATCTCAGTTATTCCAGGGGACCAGCATTAGACCAAATAAGTACATGTATGCTGAGGTGTAACGGGTCTGCATGGCAAGGTTTTGGTAGCGGGGGGGGGGGTTACAGGGGTGGCTTCTGTATG